CAGCGCTTTGGCACTACGCACGAGCCGTTCCAGCTCAGCTCGGTCTCGCACCACATCGATGCAGAGGACCGTGATGGAATCCGCTAAGGCCTCCGCTCGCATCGGTAGCATGGCGCGGAGGTACTCGGGATCCGGGTTCAGGACGGCAACGCCGTGTGCCCGTACAACAACAGGGCAGACGTCCGGCGGGCGGTTTGGCTGGTAAAGCACCATCAGTTGCTGTGATACACGACCTCGTCCCAGCAGCTGGCCCTCCAAGAACGTTGGCGTTGGGAGCCGATCCCCAAGATGGTTCATTGCAGGAACGTCTCCTGGGTCGATACGGGCAAGTGACGCGTCAGGTACCTTTCGCTCTGCAGGGCAAGAGGGAGGAAAAAAAGAACGCATAACATTAAATGACAGCGAGCAAGACGACAGCGGTAATGACGGTACGGAAAATGAGGTGTGACGGTGGTGGCAACAACCAGGATAACGATAGCAGCATTGTTGGGCGACAATTGCAAAATAGGGTGGAATTCAACGGTACGACCCTAAACAGGAGACTGCCAACAGCTAGCGACAGCCACCACGGATAATAGTCCCACAGACTTCAATTAACGGATATGCTGGCGTGCATAGTAAAGCAATCGAACTGACTACAGTTAGCGGTCACAATAAGGACCAAAACCAACACTTACTTTCCAGCGCCTTCCAACACTCCGAGCACACCGTTATGAGCTCCTCCCCCGTGTCATCAACCGTCACGGTCCGATTGGGAGGATGTTGCTCGATGCGCATGCAGAATGGCACCTCAACACATGTAGGATCCTCTGCACAAGGCCGCGCGTGATGCCGCGGCGCTCGTGGCCTCAACTCCTCAGGAAGATCCGCCGCCTCTGATTGTCCCGTCTGCTCCTCCACATCACCATCTGACCCCCCTGCTGCATCTGTGTCGACAAGGTTAGTAACATCCGCGGCATGGCCTCCACCACGAGGGCCACTGGATGCAGAGCGGTACCCAGCAGGAAGCACCGGAGAAGGTGCGGCCGGCGCATCTCCATCCACAGCGCGTGCCAGCCGACGCCAAGTCAGCGTGTGCCCCATTCTGGTAACCACCGCCGTCGGAGGGATATCCGCACGGAGAATGTCCACGTTGGGGATCTCGTCCCAACCGCAGAGGCAGGACTGGGAGGCCGAACACTGCTCACTGCAGACAGCGCATACTCGCAGAGGCATCCGTTGAGCAACATCCATTGACATGCACGCCGCCTCTCGAAGCTGCACGTCGTACGGCACCTGATACTCGGCCGGTAGCTGGCCGCCATGCTGATCCTGGATACGGGCGTTTTCTGGAGCTGTCAAAAATGCCGGCAAGTGCACGGGAGCGCCGTCGTGCAACATCGGCAGCTGCAGAAGGCGGCTGAGCGAGTCCGTGAGCGACCCACGACCATGGCTACGATGAGTTGTGTTGCCGCTGGAAGGCTGCCCCTGCTGCGCTCGCTGACGCGCCCTTGCCGCAGCATGCTGTTGGATGTTTCGAGCTTGCTCCCTTTCACAGCGAACAGGATCGGCGGACCTCATCTGTGCATGCCGTTCCCGATTGATGGCTCGCACTTCATCCCGCTGGACGGGATTGGCAGTCGCCCGCATCTGTGCATGCCGTTCCTGATCGGCGGCTCGCTCATCGTGCCGCCAAATGGGATCGGCGGCCCGCATCTGTGCATGCCGTTCCTGATCAGCGGCTCGCTCATCGTGCCGCCAAATGGGATCGGTAGCCCGCATCTGTGCATGCCGTTCCTTATCGACGGCTCTCTCATCCTGTCGCCGGGCCGGGTCAGTTGCACGTACGTTCGCCATCCGTACGGCGTTAGCAGCCAACTCCTCAATTCGCCGCAAAACATTCTGGCGCATGGCACGCTTGCGCTGCGCGTCCGGCAACAATGCACCGGCGCCACTCCCGCTGGCCAACCGTGTGCCACTGAAGTGGGACAACCAGTTGCCCCCCAGTCCGGGAAGACGAGACGGTGCTAATCCACGACCACCAGAACCAGGGCTAGGTGTCTCAGCCGTGCACGAGCTCGAGGCACCTGCGAAGGATGACATGGGGGCAGGTAGGAGAGTTAGAGAACGAGGTGATGAAGGAAATAGAAAAAAGAAGAACGCTTATGATAAAAAGCACTTTGCTTTCATTTCCAAGGAATCGTCACGGCCATAAACGTTAGGAAACCCTGCGTGTCCAAAGGGAATTGTAAAGATCTCACCTGCACCCACAGACAAAGGTGTAGCAGTAGTTCTGGCGGTGGTGACGGCCCGCGCACAAATGAGGTTGAAATGTCTGCAGAGAATTAGGGAATGGAGGGGAGCGGGAGCGGTTTGAGGGGGAGAAAGAGCATGGTTTAGAGCTCATGCAGAGTGATAACGAGCACGGGAGAGACATGAGAAACAGAGACGAGCGAGAAGAATGTGGGAGGCGGGGAAACAGTGGAGAGGGGGCAAGGGTGCAGCTGTGAACACCGCTGCAATACGCCACAATCGCAGTAAGACACACGGCGAGACCGTGTTGTCGTTGGCGACGGAAGATTGCAACGCGAATCAGGAGGTGGAAGGGGTACCCTACCGGTAGGGTTGTCACAATCGCCCGCTCGTCGCGCGCCACTCAGATGAGACAACCAGCCGCTTCCTATTCCGCCTGGGCGAGACGTCACAATTCCCGTTGGCCCTATTTTTCAAGACCGATTGAGAAGGCAACGGTGGAACAGTAACCGAGAAGCGAAAACCACGATAATGGGCCGCATTCGTAGCAGCGAGCTCAAAGCAGAATCTAACGCACCATTGCTGGAATCAACAGCAGGCGTCTATCAGTCAATTTAGACCCGGAAAGCTTACTCTCAACGCGTCGCCGTGTTGCAGCCAGATCATCCTGCGCGCCCTCTTCTGTGCGCTTCATCTGCAACTATCGCGCCCACGAAAATATGGTCGCAAAGGTCCTAACCACGTCACAACGTTAATGAAGGTTATTGATGTAGTACCTCAGAAGGTAGGGGACTACAGCATAACAGCTATACTACTTGGAAGCATATTGGAAACAAGACCGGCGGGCGAAGAATGCAAAGCACTCGTTAGCGAAATCAAGCTATTAACGCATTTCGAACTGAATGTAACGATAAGATAAAAGCAATACACAGAATGTTTTACCAAGCCGAAAAGGTGGTTCCAAAGGGGAGCAGTTGATTGCATCGAAGAGACCCGCAGGTCTGGCCATCAAAAGCACGCCGGATGCACACCGGCGACCTCCAACAATTACAGAGAAGATGTAGAATTGATGACACTCAAAACCGTCGCAGATAATTGGTCGGCGACAGCAGCCAGGCAGTTAACGACACTGAAAGACCCGTGGGTCAATATAGTGTGGTAACATCGCACCAGAAAAGATTACATACCGCAGACAGACAACCGTGTAGTGTTTACCTACGCATTGTTCTTACGCATTGTTGGCCCTACGGATCGTCGCTCTACGCATCGTTGCCCAACGCATCGTCGCCCTACGCCTTCTCGCCATATGCATAGTTGCCCTACGCATTGTTATATGGCGTGTACGCATTGTCCTATGGCGTGTACGCATTGTCCTATGGCGTTTACAACCTAACGTTCACGCGGTGTCGTTTACACACTGTCGTTTACGCATTGTCTTATACGCATTGTCTTATGACATTTACGCATTGTCCTACGACGTGTACGTATAGTCCTATGGCATGTACGTATTGTACTATGGCGTTTTTTTTGGCGTCACGCCATGCCGTACTGTACGTCATATGGCATGTACACATTGTCGTTTACGTGTTGTCATTTACGTTTTATCAGCGTCGCTCAGTGAAAGGCGTCCACCCCCTATAGCTGTGTACGCATTGTCATATGGCGTGTACGCATTGTCCTATGGCGTGTACGCATTGTCCTATGGCGTGTACGCATTGTCCTATGGCGTGTACGCATTGTCCTATGGCGTTTACAACCTAACGTCCATGCGGTGTCGTTTACACACTGTCGTTTACGCATTGTCTTATACGCATTGTCTTATGACATTTACGCATTGTCCTATGGCGTGTACGCATTGTCCTATGGCGTGTACGCATTGTCCTATGGCGTGTACGCATTGTCCTATGGCGTGTACGCATTGTCCTATGGCGTGTACGCATTGTCCTATGGCGTTTACAACCTAACGTTCACGCGGTGTTGTTTACACACTGTCGTTTACGCATTGTCTTATACGCATTGTCTTATGACATTTACGCATTGTCCTACGACGTGTACGTATTGTCCTATGGCATGTACGTATTGTACTATGGCGTTTTTTTGGCGTCACACCATGCCGTACTGTACGTCATATGGCATTTACACAATGTCGTTTACGCGTTGTCATTTACGTTTTATCAGCATCGCTCAGTGAAAGGCGTCCACCCCCTATAGCTGTGTACGCATTGTCATATGGCGTGTACGCATTGTCCTATGGCGTGTACGCATTGTCCTATGGCGTGTACGCATTGTCCTATGGCGTGTACGCATTGTCCTATGGCGTGTACGCATTGTCCTATGGCGTTTACACACTGACGTCCACTCGGTGTATAGTCCTATGGCATGTACGTACGACAACATACCTAATGGTGATGTACAGGATTGATGCAGGGATGGCCAGAGGAGCTGGAGTGATGAGGGGGTGGCGAGGGGAATGGGGAGCATGGAGGGGGGGTGGCAGAGCGTGTCGAAACCCAAGCTGTACTGTACTGCCAGTTGTTGTGGCGAGGGGGGGATGGTGCTAGGAATCACAAGGAGGGTTGGGGTGACGTGTAGGCGACGAGGGGAGAAGAGGGGGAGAAGGGAGGTGGGAGAGCGTGTCGAAACCCAAGCCGTACTGTACTGCCAGTTGTTGTGGCGAGGGGGGGATGGTGCCAGGAGTCACAAGGAGGGTCGGGGTGACGTATAGGCGACGAGGGGAGAAGAGGGGGAGGAGGGGGGTGGGAGGCCGTGTCAAAACACATGCCGTACAGATGCCGTACAAGTGTACGACAGCTGTCGTACGCTGCCGTACAGTTGTCGTACATGTCATAAACATGACATCTTGCCACACAGTACGGCACAATTGCCGTACAGTCTGCTGCCGTACAGTGTGTTGTCGTACTCGAGATCTCTCACAACACCATCCCCACAGGCCCAGGCATCATCTCCAAGGGTGCCCAGGAAGTCGCCAAGAGGTCGCTACCTGGCTCGAACCGGAGACCTCTGGCTGGCTGGGCACAGGACTGAACGCTTAGCGCCCCAAGGACCTTGCCACCACTTCTGCGGACGCACAGACAGACAGACGGACGGACAAAATTTCGACCGACTGTCCTCCAATCCTCCCCTCCACTTCGTTACGGGGGGATTTACGGTCAGTTGTCGTACATGTCATAAACATGACATCTTGCCACACAGTACGGCACAATTGCCGTACAGTCTGCTGCCGTACAGTGTGTTGTCGTACTCGAGATCTCTCACAACACCATCCCCACAGGCCCAGGCATCATCTCCAAGGGTGCCCAGGAAGTCGCCAAGAGGTCGCTACCTGGCTCGAACCGGAGACCTCTGGCTGGCTGGGCACAGGACTGAACGCTTAGCGCCCCAAGGACCTTGCCACCACTTCTGCGGACGCACAGACAGACAGACGGACGGACAAAATTTCGACCGACTGTCCTCCAATCCTCCCCTCCACTTCGTTACGGGGGGATTTACGGTCATAGCGCCGCGTCGTGGTCGCCGCGGCCGGGGGTACCGTAAATCCTGATTGGTGATGCGAACCAGCATGATCTCGGCACATTGCGGACCTGACGTCGGTGAGCTGTCGAGTGTTGCGAGCTTGCTCATGTCGCTGAAGAGCACACCGCAGGCGAACCAGACGTTGGCATGCCAGTCATGTTCATTAACATTGGTCGTACGAGCATGGTCAGCAGACCTGAAGTCGGCGTACCGACCAGTGCTGCGAGCTTGCTCCTCTTGCCGACGAGCATGGTTGGCGGACCTAACGTTGGCGCGCCGACCAGTGTTATGAACTTGCTCATGTCGCAGACAAGCATGGTCGGCGGACCTGATGTCAGCGTGTGGCTCATGTTCGAAAGCATTAGTCGTAAGCCATTTGTCGTAAGGCATAGGTCGCCTCTCGCCGACGATCAGGGTCGGTGGACCTGATGTCGGTGCAGTGACCTATGTTGTGAGCTCGCTACACTCGTTGACAGGCGGGGTCGGCGGACCCAACTAACATTGGCTTGCCAGTTTTGTTTGTAAGCATTAGTTGTAAGGCATCTGTCGTGAGGCATAGGTCGCCTCTCGCTGACGGGCAGGATTACTTTCTTACGTCAAGTAACCAAGAAACTGCGAATGGCTCATTAACTCAGTTATAGTTTAATCGACATCACAGTGCAGATGAGCGGCGCAAGGAAGTCGGTGGGATGTGATTCCACTTCGTTACGGGGGATGAAACCTAAAAAGACAGCATTGCAAATTGCGCCGAAAGGCTTTTGCCGATGCCTTGTCGCCGAAACCTAAGAAGCTTTCACAGCGGCCACTCCTGACAGCATTCGCCGATCAGTGATCGCCAATGAACCATTGTTTTCGGCGATTAGTAATCGGCGCTTTTCAGCAGACGCGCCGACTTCACGAATACGCTTCTCGCCGAAACCAGCTTGCAAATTGCGCTGAAAGACTTTTGCTGATGCAGTGTCCATCTCCGAAACCTAAGAGACTTTCACGGCCACCACCCCTGACAGCATTCGCCGATCAATGATTGCCAATGAATTGCTTCTTACGAAATGATACTGATGATCTAATGTTTTGATACTCCAATATACTATGCTGCCAAAGACAGCCTACAGACCAAGAAACGACCGCCCGAAGCGCAAGTCTCACTGGGATTATCAACCAAAGCAATAGCCATGATGATTGTTCATGCTGTATTCTACACTTTTATCGCATATTACACAGTTAAAGAGATCTGAAAAGCTCTCTGGTCCAGCTAATTGCGCCGAAATCTAAGAAGCTTTCACGGCGACCACCCCTGACAGCATTCGCCGATCAGCGATCGCCGATCAACCATAGTTTTCGGCGATCAGAAATCGGCGCTTTTCAGGAGACGCGCCGACTTCACAACCACGCTTCTTTCCGAAACCAGCTTGCAACTTGCGCTGAAAGACTTTTGCCGAAGCCATATCTGTCGCAGAAACAGTTTTACGCCGATTTCTAAAAGTAACCAAGAAACTGCGAATGGCTCATTAAATCAGTTATAGCTTAATCAACATTACAACGCAAGACATCACAACAAGGAGACCAGCGGCACACGGTGCCCGAACCCATGCCGTACCGTGTCACTGTACGACAGGGGTGTTCAGAGGAGCTGGAGCGAGGAAGGGGTGGTGAGGGGAGTGGGGAGTATGGAGGGGGGTGGTCACGGTCACCAAACCGTTTTACGCCGATTTTGGAAAGTAACCAAGAAACTGCGAATGGCTCATTAACTTAGTTACAGCTTAGTCAACATCACAATGCAAGATATTGCAACAAGAAGATTGGTGATACGTGGTGCCCGAAGCCATGCCGTACCGTGTTGCTGTACGACAGGGGTGGTCAGAGGAGCCAGAGCGAGGAGGGGGTGGTGAGGGGAGTGGGGAGCATGGAGGGGGGTGGTCACGGTCACCAAACCGTTTGACGCTGATTTTGGAAAGTAACCAAGAAACTGCGAATGGCTCATTAATTTAGTTACAGCTTAGTCGAGATCACAATGCAAGATATTGCAACAAGAAGATTGGTGATACGTGGTGCCCGAAGCCATGCCGTACCGTGTTGCTGTACGACAGGGGTGGTCAGAGGAGCCAGAGCGAGGAGGGGGTGGTGAGGGGAGTGGGGAGCATGGAGGGGGGTGGTCACGGTCACCAAACCGTTTGACGCTGATTTTGGAAAGTAACCAAGAAACTGCGAATGGCTCATTAATTTAGTTACAGCTTAGTCGAGATCACAATGCAAGATATTGCAACAAGAAGATTGGTGATACGTGGTGCCCGAAGCCATGCCGTACCGTGTTGCTGTACGACAGGGGTGGTCAGAGGAGCCAGAGCGAGGAGGGGGTGGTGAGGGGAGTGGGGAGCATGGAGGGGGGTGGTCACGGTCACCAAACCGTTTGACGCTGATTTTGGAAAGTAACCAAGAAACTGCGAATGGCTCATTAATTTAGTTACAGCTTAGTCGAGATCACAATGCAAGATATTGCAACAAGAAGATTGGTGATACGTGGTGCCCGAAGCCATGCCGTACCGTGTCGCTGTACGACAGGGGTGGTCAGAGGAGCCAGAGCGGCGAGGGGGTGGTGAGGGGAGCGGGGAGCATGGAGGGGGGTGGGAGGGCGTGTCGAAACCCATGCCTTACTGCATTGCCGTACACCTCATGGTGATGCAGGGGCGTTCAGAGGTGCTGGAGGGACGAGGGGGTGGTGAGGTGAGTTGGGAGCATGGGGGGTGGGTTGGAGGGCGTGTCGAAACCCATGCCGTACTGCGTTGCCTTACACCTCATGGTGATGCAGGGGTGTTCAGAGGTGCTGGAGGGACGAGGGGGTGGTGAGGGGGGCGGGGAGCATGGAGGGGGGTGGGAGGGCGTGTCGAAACCCATGCCGTACTGCGTTGCCGTACACCTCATGGTGATGCAGGGGCGTTCAGAGGTGCTGGAGGGACGAGGGGACGATAAGGGGAGTGGGGAGCATGGAGGGGGATGTGAGGCCGTGTCAAAACCCGTGTCGTACAGATGCCGTACAACCGTACGGCAGTTGTTGTACACTGCCGTACAGCTGTCGTACATAGTCGTACATGTCGTACATGTCGTACACCACATGATGCGTCACCACACAGCATGGCAACTGTGCCGTACAGTTTGCTGCCGTACAGTGTGTTGTCGTACTCGAGATCTCCCAGAACACCATCCCCATAGGCCCAGGCATCATCTCCAAGGGTGCCGAGGAAGTCGCCAAGAGGTCGCTACCTGGCTCGAACTGGAGACCTCTGGCTGGCTGAGGATAGGACCGAACGCTTAGCGCCTTAAGGTCGTTGCCACCACTTTTGCGAACGGACAGACAGACAGATAGCGCCACGTCGTGGTCGCCGCGGCCGGGGGTACCGTAAATCCTGATTGGTGATGAATCCGCGAACGAACAAGCTTTGCGTGCCGGCATGACTTCAGCATTGCGGACCTAACATTGGCGCGCCGACCAGTGTTGTGAGGTTGCTCATGTGTTGCAGACAAGCATGTTCGGGGGTCTTGTCGTACCCGAGATCTCTCAGAACACCATCCCCATAGGCCCAGGACACCATCCCGATGATGCCAGGCATCATGCCAAGGGTTGTCGTCAAGTTGCGAAAAGGTCCCTACTCGGGTCGAACCTGAGACCTCTGGCTGGCTGAGCGAAGCGATTATTGTCGCGCCTTAAGGTCGTTGCCACCACTTTTGTTAACAGACGGACAGACAGAGAAACTTTAGCGGTGATCTGTCCTCCAATCCTCCCCTTCACTTCGTTACGGGGGGATTTACGGTCACGGACGGACGGACAGAGAATTCTTAGCGGTGATCTGTCCTCCAATCCTCCCCTTCACTTCGTTACGGGGGGATTTACGGTCACGGACAGACAGATAGCGCCGCGTCGTGGTCGCCGCGGCCGGGGGTACCGTAAATCCTGATTGGTGATGAATTCGCGAACGAACAAGCTTTGCGTGCCGGCATGACTTCAGCATTGCGGACCTAACGTTGACGTGCCGACCAGTGTTGTGAGGTTGCTCATGTGTTGCAGACAAGCATGGTCGGCGGACCTGATGTTAGCGTGCGGCTCATGTTCGAAAGCAATAGTCGGCATGGCGTACATGTACGGCATGGCGTCGAACTGCTTCAAATTCAAATTTTGGGGCGCCTCCGGACGTTTTCCACTATCGGTGACCTCTTGGGGCTGCCCTACGGCATGTTGGCGTGTCCAAGGCATGAAAAGCCCTTGTTCTGTACCAACATATACAGGTAGAGCCACGCTACCTGCGCACTACATGCACACACACACACACACACACAAACACATCTGCGCATGAGGGCGACGTCTCATGACCCGTGGGTCAGTGATCACCAAAAAAGCTATCATTTTCGGCGATCAGCAATCGGCGCTTTTCAGGAGATGCGCCGACTTCACGACCATGCTTCTCGCCGAAACCAGCTTGCAAATTGCGCCGAAAGACTCTCGCCGATGCCAGGCAAATTGCGCCGAAATGTAAGAAGCTTTCACGGTGACCACCCCTGACAGCATTCGCCGATCAGTAATCGCCGATAAACCCCCGTCTTCGGCGACCAGTAATCGGCGCTTTTCATCAGACGCGCCGACTTCACGACCACGCTTCTCGCCGAAACCAGCTTACATTTTGCGCCGATTTTGTTTTGCCGAAACCATATCAGTCGCCGAAACAGTTTTACACTGATTTCGGAAAAGTAACCAAGAAACTGCGAATGGCTCATTAAATCAGATATAGCTTAGTCGATATCACAATGCAAGACATCGCAACAAGGAGACGGGCGGCACACGGTGCCCCAACCCATGCCGTACCGTGTCGCTGTACGACAGGGGTGTTCAGAGGAGCTAGAGCGATGAAGAGGTGGTGAGGGGAGTAGGGAGTTTGGAGA